GAGGGGGTTCCTCACCCCACATTTCGGGGAGAGGGCCCTGGTCCAGACCAACCTGCCCTTGCTGGGCAATCTGGGATGAGATCATTTGCAATGGTTGTTCACTGGCTTTGGGTACAGAGAAAACAGCCCCGGGCTGGAATGCAGATGACATGGGCATGTTGCCCACCTGTGCCTCTCCCTGTGGAGGTGAGTCACTTTACCTGTGATTCCCAGTTTCCTCATCAGTGGCATGGACTAATACACCTGCCCAGGGACTTTATTGCGGTGAATAAGGGCTGTTAGGTATTTGTCAGCAGCCGAAAGCCCTGTACAAGGATAGCACAGGTGATTGCCATTTCCAGTGGGAAGACCCAAGCCCCGAGGTGCTTGGTTCCCTGCAGTTCCAGGCAAAGGAAGAAAGAAATGTCCAGAGGCTCCAAACCCACATCCAGGATGAGCCCTCTTGTCCAGCCCAGGCCTCCTGTTCCCTCCCCCGCTGGATGCAGGGAGGAGACTCCAGTGTCCTCTGGCCCTGGATGCCAAGCGCCTTGAGGGTGAGACATAGCGTCTGTCTCAGCCCCAAACGCTCCTGTTTCCAGCTAAGCGAGGCGGCACACTGCACACGGATGTTGAGAGAATAAACACATGTTTGCGCGAGAGAGGGAAGAAACCCCGGGGCTGGGAACAGGTCCAGCTTTGACCTCCTGAACCCCGGGCTCCCAGCTAAGCCACCCGACTTTCCCCGTCCCCCACCCTTCCCTTTTCACAGCAATGCATGACACCAGGGTTACCAAAAAGGCAAACTGGACTTTATTATAAAGTTGGCTACAAAGTCACCGCAGCACCACGAGGTGGCCGTCTGGGCAGGTCCAGGCGGTCTGGTGGCCGGGTGAGTCCCGCACCAGGTACACGCACTCGTGCAAGCACACGTGTGACGGCAGGTCTGCCTTCCTCCATCGGAAAGGAACGTAGCGTCTCTTCGCGCCCCCCACCCCAGGCGCGGGGCGCAAAAGTCACAGGAAGGGCCGCCGGGGCGGCAGAGTCCATCGGAATTGAAATCCCGTTACTGGTGTGTAGAGAATTCTACGTGGATGTCAAGAGCCCCTCAGGGCACAGGCTGGCCCGGGTGGGCCCTGCCTTTCCCCCACCAAGGCCCAGGGGTGGCTTGGCCCCTAGGAGGGGAGAACTGGCCCAGGCCAGTGGGGCAGCGCGGCGGGGAAGTGTGACTCCCCCATTCTCCGCTTGAAATCCCATTCAAGGAAACTCACTACGAGTGAATACAGATTGAAATGGAAACTGGGATCGCTCGAAGTCTCTTGATTTTAAAAAGAAGCTCCCCTCCCTTGCCCTCCCACCTCCCCCCAATCTTGCAGGGCCTGGGAATCAGATATATCCCCCTCTGGCCCCCAGAATCCCCCCAACAGTCCTGGGGGGGTGGAGAGCGGCTCCACGTCTTGATGACAATATGCCATACTTGACGACGTTAAGTCACAGACTTATTCAAAACGTTGGTTCCCCTCCACTTCCATCTGCAGAGAGAGAGAGAGAGAGAGAGGGTGGTCAGTTAGGCCTACTAGGACAGGGGTCCTTGGGCTGAGATGTGGTGCGGTGCAGGCACGAATATGTTGGCCCAATGACTGACGGTCCTCAGAGGCTCGGCAGGTAAGGGGGCAATTTGGACGGATGGAGTGAATCTGCGGCTGTAGTTTGGGAAGGACAGGGAGCTGCTGCGATGGGGCCAGGGGCTGCCCCGTCCCCTTTCTGTCCTCCACCTCTGCAGACTCTTGCTCTGTATTGCCTTAGGGCCAGGAATACTGCACAGAGCTCTAATCCTTCTTCCGCTGGTTTGTGGTATGACCTAAGGCAAGTTTCTTCAACTCTGGGACCTTGACTGTCTCATCCGCAAAATGCGGTGGAGAAGACTGATCTAGGGCCCTCGCAGAGTTAAGAAGCGTATGCCTTTACTCAAGGACTCTCCAGTGCTCTATCCCATGTCCCCAACCCTGCCAAGTTCACTTGTCCAAAAATGTCATGTTAGGTTTTTTTCTTATCCTCACGGCTACCCTTGGCAAGAGGTAATGTCATCCCCTTAAGAAAACTAAAGTACGGAGATGGGAATTGATTCACCTAATTCCACCCAGCATCAAACTGGCAGGACAGGGACTTGAATTCTTGGACGTTTTGGCTGGACTCACCTTCATGGAAGCTGTCTTGAACTTGGCTCTGGAGTTGATGCAACTCATCAGTAAACCCATCGTAGGGGAATGCTGAGACACCTGTCTCAAAGGCGGTTTCGTATGTGGCCAGGTCCTCCAGGAAGCTGTGGTCTTCTGGGGACAGGTTGTTGCAAGGCGATGGGGGCCCTCCTGGGCCCTCTGCCTCAGGACCCCCCGAGCCCCACTCCTCACTGGGGTCTGGGGTAGAGAGATCCATGAAGATGTCTTCCACGGGCGTCTCTTCCAGGAACACGTCAGGGTCGGCCAGAAAGTCCAGCTCCTGGCACTTCCAGGGCTTCAGGTCCAGGCTGAGCACAGGGGGGCCAGCCCCCGGCAGGGACAGGTTGGAGTCCAGGGGCTCCAGCCCTCCAAGTGGCTCCAGCCCGCCAGTGCCAGCCTCAGCTGAGAAGGGCCTGTCCATGCCCTGAGCCAACTGGCTAATCTGCCGGATGAGACGGTCTATCTCATTCTGCTCCTTCTCAGAGTAGTGGAAGAAACTCTGCTTGACTGGAGAGGCCTCAGGTGTGAGCAGGCCTTCAGGTACCAGGGGGACGTCCACAGAGAGGGGGCCCCGGAGCTGGGCTAGGGCCAAGAGTGTGCAGTCCCCATTACCAGGGCTGCTAGGACTTGGGGGCAACTTCTCATAGAGAAAACTGCATCCCTCCTGGGCGAAGTAAGTCTTGGTGGGATTGGGGCTCAGTTGCTCTGGGAAAGTTTGGCTGGGGCTGTTCAGGTGTGCTTGGAAAGCTGTGCTGGGAGGAGTCAGCTGCTCCCGGGCAGGGCTCCCCAGAGGCTCTGGGAAGGTGGCAGTGCTGGGAAGCAGCTGGTCTGGGAAGGTGGAGGTGCAGGGAGTCAACTGGTCTTCGTAGCTTCTGGCCGAGGTTTCGGTCACATGGCCTTGCAGTGGGCTAGTTAGTGGATCTGGGAAGGTTGCACTGCTGGGCGTCAACTGATCGGAGAAGGTCGCCGTGCTTGGAGTCAGCTGTTCTTGAAGAGAGCTGGACGGGGTGGGCAAGTGGGTCTGGAAGGGCTCATGGAGGCTGAAGAGGAAGGCACAGCCTCCTGGCTGGTGGGGGGTGTAGGGTGGGGTGCACACAAGATCCTTGCTCAGGTCTGCTTGGAAAGAAGGCTCAGGCCCTGAAGGGAATGCCAGGTAACTGAAGTCAATCTGTTTGGGGGGTCGAGGAATCTCTTCTGATGCTGAGACAATGCCCAGTTCAGGAGCGCTGGGGAAACTGGTGCTTCTGGGAGCTCCCAGGGCTGGGGTGAAGAGTGGGTTAGCGCTGGAGCACTGCTCCTGGGAGAGAACGTTCTCAGGGAATGAGGGCAGCATGGTCGGGGTGCCCAGGACATAAGCTGCCTGAGTATCTTCAGAGTTCAGCTGCTGTCGGAGGCTCCAGGCTTCCGTGTCACTGGAGAGAAGAGAAGAGGCAGCTGGTAAGGGTCTGATGTCCATTCCCAGAGCAGTTCCCTGATTTGTGTCTTCTCCACACCAATATCAGCTGCCCCCGCCAGCCCCTGCCTTGCAGCTCACCTGATTGGGTAGTTATTGGCAGTAATGGGGCCCTCCGGACCTTCTGAGTATAATAGGCAGTAAATCCATGCCCAGCCTCCAGGCTTGGCCTGCAGTCTCACCACCATCTCAGCCTGAATATCTCCACTCTCAGCCACTGGGGAGAAAAGAGATGCAGAGTTAGGATGCACATCAGGCAACACCACCTAAAGCCCCCCTTGCTCGCCTCTCCACTGCATTGAGGTAGCCATGACACCCTCTCCGCTGACTACCCTACCCTGCACCACTCCACTCCCTACCTGGACCTCACCACTCAGAGTCCCCCAGTTTGGATCCTATTCTCATCTTAACGCCTCACCCTAATGGTCACCCTATAGCATCCCAAACTGTTGGCCTCTAATATCTCCACAATGTCAACCTTGAGCCCAGCCCACTCTTGGTCTGGTCTCCCATGCCCTTTCCCAAATGGCTGCCTTGTCCCCAGCCTCTCTGGACACTCACACAGGCGGTAGTGCTGAGCAGAAGCGTGGGCCAGGTCCTCAGGGTGCAGCAGTCCATACCATGATTTACAGAGCAGTTCGCTGCGCTCAAAGCCCAGGTAGATTAGGACACTGGGAAGGTGGAAAGGGTGAGGTCAGCTTTCTGTTTACTCTGCTTGATAGCCATGCATCTCACTCCCTCCCAGATCCTCTGCCCCCTTAAACCCCATCCTCCCTGCCCCTGACTCCAGAATCTAGGGTCCCCTCATCTCTGGCCTGCCTTCCTCCTGGGGTCTGAACACTCTGTGCTTACCTCTCAGAGACGTCCAGGAGGACGAGGTCCTTAGCATGACGGCTCTGGAACATGGCCAGGAAGAGCGAGGCAGGGCCGGGGCCAGGGCCGGGGCCAGGGCCAGGGCGGGGTCTTGGCTCCAGTGGGGCACAGAAAGCTGTGAACACAGGGTTTCCTGCCCAGTAGGCCCCAGGTGGGTGAGCATGGAATCGGCCTCGAATAAGCACCAGTTTGTTGCCTGCACTCTGGCGCCTGAGGGACTTGGAGGTGTTGAAGCGACAGCGGAAGAGGCGATCTAGATGGGTGAAGAGAAAAACTGGTAAGAGGAAGGGTGGCTGAGTGAGATGGTGAGTGGGGAGCAGCAGGGCAGTGGGAGGGAGCCTGGACTGAGGAGGGAGAAGGAGGTCCTTACCAGTGTCCAGGGCAGAGGGCAGAGCGAGTTGCTGGCGCACAGTAAGGTGGTCAGCTGGGTCAATGATGTCATAGATACTGTCACCCTGGGCAACGAGGTCCACCTGGAGGAAGGAAAAGAGGAGATGACTGTTAGTGACAACAGCAAGAGCCAGTCTTTGGCCCATGGCACCTTGCAGGGTAGAACCCCTCCCTCCATAGTAACTCTCATTTTCTCAGGAGTGGAAAGGAAAGGTCACTGTGCCCCACCTGTGCCCCAGCCCGAGCAGAGAGGACCCTCAGCACTCACCATGGAGTGGCCCAGGTGCTCGCTCACACTCTCAGACAGGTAGAGCAACTTCCCCTCAGCTGTGAACACAAGCAGAAATCCAGGTAGTGCTGCCACGATGTCCTCAAGCTCTTCGGCTGAGAGAAGCCCCGTGGGGCCCTCCAGAGGAGTGCCTGTAGGGTGAGAAGATGCGGTGAGTCAAGAGTACGATGGGAGGCAAAGTAGAAATGAGTGAGGCGCGGTATGAATTGCAGAGAATCCAGAGGAATTCCTCATGGACCTGCCTCTCCAAACACCTGTTGACCCGCTGCTCGTGGCCCGGGAACCTGTTGCCGGATCTCCACAGCCAGCGAGCCCTTCGGCTTCTAAGCCGGCCGGAGCCTCCGCGAGCCTGGGTTTCAGCACCGCGGACAGAGCTCCCAAGCGGACCGTAGGTTCAGCACCGCGGACAGCGCCATCAGCACCGCGGACAGCGCTCCAAAGGCGGCGGAAAAGCCGGTTCAGCGCCGCGAACAGAACAGCGGCTGCCTTCCCAGGCTCCGGCGGCTCCGGCGGCTCCATCCCTGCAACTTCCCGGACTTCCCTGCCTGGCTCCCGGGCGCATCTGCACTGGCGGGGACTGAGACCATTCTGACCTGGCTCTCTCCTCCCACAGACCTGGTGTTAGGGAACCCCCAGACCGTCTAACCCTCACCCAGAACTGAGGCAAGGTCTGGACAGAGCTCGGAGGAAAAGCGGGAGTCCTGAACCCCGAGTCCCGTCACCCACTCGCCAGCACGCTGCCGGACCTTCGGCAGCCTCGGCGGAGCTTCCCTGAGCTCCGCCATCCCCGGCGCCCGCCGGCTCGGTCTCCGGTAGCCCAGCTCGCTCACCTCCAGCGAAGAAGACGCCCTTGCGAGTGTAGATGCAGGCGAGGCTCATGATGTGCAGGTAGGACAGCCGGACCTTGTCGGCCTCGGCCAGCGGCAGCAGCTCCTTGAGGTTGCGGATCTCGGCGTTGATCTGGTCGCGGCGCGCCTTGGAGGCGCCCTTCGTGGAGCGGTACATGCCTGGCACCGCAGAGCCCAGCGCGGGCGCCCGGACACCTGCGCTCCCGTCCCGACGCCTCGGAGGCTTCCTGCTTCCCAGTCGCTCGCTCGAGCTCTCTGTCCTCTGCTGGGCTCCGCTCGGCTGCGCTGCCCCCTCGCCTGCCTCGCTCCGCCTTATATAGTCCCTGCCGCGCGTGGGGGGCTCGTTCTCGAGACGGGGGGGCGGGAGAGCGGGAGGCTGGGCCAAGCGAGCTGCAGCGGGAGCCGCTGGCTGGGGGCTCCTCCTCCCTCCCTGGCTCCCGACGTCATCCCGTGACGTAGAGTGAGAGCGGGAGGGCGGGGGAGGGGAGCGGGGAGGCTGCGGAGGGGCCGAGGCCGGCGGGAGCTGGGCGGAGAAAGGCGCCGCGCAGGGAAAGCCTGAAATGGTGCAGGGACCCGGGAGTCCGAGCGCGTTCGGCCGGACAAGGGACGGGCGGTCTGAAGTCCCTGGCGAGGCTGTAGGGGACAGAGAGGGGCCGGAACTGACCTTGTTTGGTCTTTCTAGGATGAGAGAATGGGGAGGCGCAGGGTCGTCTGCACACCCCCCTTGCTGTTTGCCAGACGCAGGTCACGTTCACATGCAGGGAAGGAGTTTCTTTGGCCTCTGTGGCATGGGTCACAGCTGGGGGTCCTCTCTGGAGGCGACTCAATCTGGGATCCCCTTGGCCGTTTCCAAAGAACAAATCCCTTCCCCCTTCCCAAACCCGGGTCTTGGCGATTTACCAGAGGGTGTTACATGGGGTGGGAAGGGGGTCCGGTGGGAGAGGGACCAGCTAAACTTGGCACTGGTCCTGTTTTCCCCCAGCCAAGAGGAGGGACACCAACACCAAGGCTCAGTCTGCAGTGATAGTGATTCTTCGTTTCCCTATCTACTAATTAACCTTAGCCACTGACAGGGGAAACTGAGGCAGAGGCCCAGGGCAAGTGAGGACCCGGGTCTGCACTTTCGCATCCCTTCCCCCTCGCGCGGTTGCGGCCCCCACCGCGAGCGCCCCCGCCCCGCTGCGGCACGTCTCCCGGGCCGGGGGCGGGGGCGCCGGGGAATCCCAGCTCCATATTAGGGCAGGAATCCTCGGCGCGCGGGCGGGGCTGCCTGGCTGCCTGGCTCCGCGCGGGGCCCCGCCCTGCCCGCGCGGGGAAGCCCGGCGAGCGCGGCGGAGGAGGGCGCGCCGGAACCCCCCGCGACCCCGCCCCCGCCCCGGGCCCCTAGCCCCACAGCCCCCCACTCCCCGAAGCTGGGGGCTCCCTGCTGTCTCTCCACCCACCTCCCGTCCCTTGTCCGCCTCATTGCCCGCAGTAGTCCGCCCCGCTGTCGCCCCCCCCACAGAGGCCCCTCTTCTATCTTGTCTGTCCTCACTCTTCTCTTGGTCAGGCTTGTCCCCGCGTCCTGCCGCCTTTGCCCTAGCTCCCCCTTTCTTCGCTCTCTTTTCACAAGTGATTGCTCTGCCCAGGGGCCAGAAGGTACTGCTCTCAGCCCAGGAGCCCACAAAGGAAGGCAGGAAGGGGGCTAGGGAACGTTCTAGAACAAAATCTCATTTGCTGGAGGAGGGTGTGTGCAAAATCACTTGAGGGGCTGGAAATGAGGACACTTGAAAATCGGGGGTGGGGGATTAGCCTGACTGTAAAAAGTCGCACAGGAAGGGTGGAGGTGAACTTTGACACCAAGGAGGAAAGCTTGGGCTCAGAGAACTCCCCACTTCTCGTGGAACAGGGTGGTAGTGAGAGAGGCAGAATGGGAGGAGAAGGGTGTCTTAGAAGAGGGGTACATGGCTGTGGAGACCCTATCCTGAAGGCTTGTGCCATTTTTACAGAGGTTGGGGCCATCCCCATAAACCGTCCTGTGGTCAGTGCCGCAGCTGAGATCGAGGGAATGGTGTGCGGGTGGCTGTCAACATCCCCGACCTTACTGCCCCGGCTGACAGAGAGATAGCTCCTCCAGGACATAGGTCTCTGCTGCTTCTTTCTTCTCTCCCTTATCTCTGATCTACCACCCAACTCTTCCTGAAGCTTCCATTTGAACAGCCCTTGATCTTTGGACCCCCTCCCATAAGACAATTCAGGGAAGTGCTCCTGCTTTCTTCACCCATGGATGCTTTAGGCTCTGGCTAGGAGACATTCCTGGTGTCTCTCCACAATAAGAGGTGTCTATTGGCTGGGTCCTGCTGGTCTCCAGCAACCTGGAAGAATGGGGTGCTGTCCATGGTTCTGAAACAGTCACCATGGAAGTCAGATGGGCTATGGTTTGCCTGGGACATCAGAGTAGGGGTTGGGTCCACACAGACCTCAGGATGAGGCCCCCCCGTTGCCTGCCCCCCTCTTTTCTGAGGACAAATATGGAAAGGGGTTTGGGGGCCATGATTCCTGGGCTCTAGAGATGAAGTAAGTGAGGGAGGACAACTGGGCTCAAGGGAAGAACCCCTGGATTTTTCCAGAATGGACTGGGAAGAAGGCACTTTGGAAGGGAAGGATCTAGAAATAGACAAGGGAGGGGTATAGAAGGGCTCATCCTAGTTCGCCCACTCTGATTCAAGTTGAGAAGCTCTGTGTGCCCCAATGTCTCCTCTCCCTAGGCCAGCTCCCACTCCCCTTGCCTCCCACCTCCGTGGAGATATTTTTAACTGTGCAGAACCAAAAATAGCTTGGCAGCAGCTTCAGGCCGTGGGAGAGGAGCTATTTATATCACCAGTGACGGTTCCGAAATAGCAAGCAGGAGGAGGGGGGCGGCTGGCACGCTAGAGAGCTCCTGGCCGCTGCTAAAAATACAGGCAGTGTGAGTCATCTTGGCCTGGCTGAGTCACCCCACTCTCTCCCCCAAGCGGCAGCAGCAGCAGCAGAACCAGCTAAGAATTGAAAGCCTGAGATGGGGGTGCACTAGATCCTGTTGGCTGTGGGAAAGTGGGCAATGGCATGAATGGAGAGAGGGGCTTTGGAGTGAGTGTGTAGAAGGAATAGGGGAGCAGAAGGCTCCCATGCCCTACTGGGTGGGCATGCAGCACTCCAGCCAGGCACTGCTTGGGGATGCTTGGGCAATTGAAGGAAGGGAGCCAGACTGTGTGTGCGTGTGCGTGTGTGTGTGTGTGTGTGTGTGTGTGTGAGTCTGTTCATTTGACTGTGACTGTGTTTGTATATCTCTGTGTGTCTGCATCTCAGCCTGTCTGTCTGAATGTGTTTTTTTTTTTTTTTTTTTTTTTTTTTTGAGACAGAGTCTCACTTTGTTGTCCAGGCTAGAGTGAGTGCCGTGGCGTCAGCCTAGCTCACAGCAACCTCAAACTCCTGGGCTCGAGTGATCCTTCTGCCTCAGCCTCCCGAGTAGCTGGGACTACAGGCATGCGCCACCATGCCCGGCTAATTTTTTATATATATATCAGTTGGCCAATTAATTTCTTTCTATTTATAGTAGAGACGGGGTCCCGCTCTTGCTCAGGCTGGTTTTGAACTCCTGACCTTGAGCAATCCACCCGCCTCGGCCTCCCAAGAGCTAGGATTACAGGCGTGAGCCACAGCGCCCGGCCTGTCTGAATGTGTTTGTATGTCTGCATTTGCGTATCTGTTTGCATGTGATTTTGTAGATGTGTGTCCACGTCCTATGTATCTATGTGTTTGCCTACGTCTGTGTCTATGCCTGTCTTTTTAAAAATAGGTCTCCAACTTCCTGTGTTGTGTGTAGTTCTATGTTTGTGCCTGTATATATTTATGTCTACAACTTTCTGTGTGCCTGTGTGTGTGTGTGTGTGTGTGTCCATACCTGAGTCTGCTCCGGGCCTTTCTCTCTGAGAGTCCGGTGGTGCATGTGGATGTGCACGCTCCCCTGGACTCAGCAGACCTTCGGTTGCCCTTTCTGCCCACCTGTTAGGGTCTTGCACTATCTACCCTCGCTCACCTCTCTCCACCAAGCACCTTCTCCTCTTTCCAGCCCATGGCCCCCAACCATCTGCAAAGCTCTCTCTGCTGCATGCAATCTCTAGTACAAACATGAAGGAGAGGGGCCCCACATGACCTCTCCCTTTTCTTTTGAATCAACCTGAATCGTCGCTGGCTTGCAGGAGTAAGTGGTTTTCCATCGCTCCATATTTGGGGAGCTGAGAGAAGGGCTTTCTTTAGTTCTAAAAAAAAAAAATTCCTGGTGTGGGCACAGGCATGCGTAGCACGCGCATGCACACACACACACAACTGAGAGAATGAGAGAGGAAAAAAATATCAAGGTCCCTTCTTTACTGAGATGAGCTCGCATCTGTTGCCATGGCAACCCGCCCACTCCTTCCCCGAAAAATCACCAAGAAGAGGTGATGGCATCGAGGAGGGATTGGCTGATTCCTTTCTGTATTATTTTTTCCGAAAAAGGGTTTTTATCACAAGAACAGGCTGTGAAATCCTTTGCCTCTGCCTTGCATAGTTTTATTGGGGACCGGGGGGGGGGGTATCACTCCTCAGCCTCTAATCAGACAAGGGGAGATGTATCTTTTCCAGAGATTTTGAGGAGGGTGACCTCCTGCAAAGGAACTGGAGGGTGGGTAGGGGAATCTGCTCCTTCAGAACAGTATGGAGACTCCTGGCTGCTTTTCTGGAGATTTGGAGCAAGGATCCTGACAGCTGTCAAAGTTGCCATTTAATGTCTTGTCTTCTTGTCTTGCTCTGGACAAATGTGTCTATGAGAAAGACAAAGAGAGAGGAGGGGAAGGGGGAAGAGAGATAGAAGAGGGGAAAGTGTGAATGAATGAATCACTTGATGGGGCTTCAGAGGAGATGCCAAGATGCCAAAGGATGCAAGCTCCCAGCAGTGGTCAGGACAAACAGGAGCACAAGGTGGCTCAAGAAAGATCCACTGGTGCAACTGGTGGTGGTTCAAGTCACCCCTAGACCACAGCTGTGGCTACTTGACTTGTGGCCACAGGGTGAACGTTCTAGAAGAGCACTGAAGCCCACCTTTCCTGACTCCAGTCCCAGCCTGGGTCTCAAAGGCCTCCTCCAAAGCCTGGCCACCAGCCAGTGCAGCCACACCATTCTCCCAAGTGAACTGTAGCCCCCGGGCCAGTGACTGCATGGTGAGAGAAAGGATTCCAGATCCCTCCCTCCCTCCCGTGCTTGGCTTGCTACAGAAATGGGCTCATGGGCTGAGGTTGGAATGACAGACCAAGACTCTGGCTCTGGAGAACTGGTTCCCCCTCTGGCAGCTGCTGCCACCCTGAGCAGGCAAAGGGCAGGGCCAGGTGGGGTGGAGGTGGCCGGTGGGTGTAGCTCCACTCAAAGTGATGGAGTAGAGGGATGAAAAGGCTTCAGATCTGCTCTGACCGATTAGTCATATCCTCGTGCCAGATCTGACTGATAGTATTATGCTCATTTATGGGGAAACTGAGGCTTGGAGATGGGCAATGACTTCATCAAAGTCACACAGCAAGTCACTGGCAAATGCTGAACCTTAAGCCTGGCGTCGGCATCCCAGCCCAGGCTTGCTCTCTTGTACCACATGGTAGGACAAGGATCTACAAACTTTGGCCTGTGTGCCCAATCTGGCCTGCTGCTGCTCTTTGTAAATAAAAATTTCCATTGGCTACAGGGTGAACGTTCTAGAAGAGCACCAATTTCTATATCCATTGATTTATTTATTGTCTATAGCTGTTTTCACACTACAGTGGCAGAGGCGAGTAGTTGCAACAGAGGCATACGGCTCACAAAGCCTGAAATATTTACTAACTGACCCTCAGAGTAGTGGATCGGTTCACACTAGGGATATCTCCACTTGTTTTTCTCTCCTTCTTGCCTGGAAAGCTCTCTTGGGCTGAGGCATACCAAGCTGTCATTTCAACTTCTTTTACTCTGCCCAGTGTGGCGGAGCTGCAGTGTTCCCCCACACCCTAAGGCAGGAGAGGTAGGAAGCCTCACCGGTCTGGCCCCTACTGGCTTCCAGCCCCCTTTGTGGCTGTGCAGATGTAGCCTCCCCACGTAGGAGTGATGCCCCACATCCTGTTCCCATAGCAACATGAGTTGGAACTGGCAATGAAGAGGCAGGGTACCCCATCCCAGCCCCATCCCAACCCCGGTCCTGCATTTTGGGAAGCGGAGGGTCCCATGCTTGGTGATTAAGGTATTGTCAGAAAAAATTTCCTTATAGGAGGAAATCAAGGGTATTGTAGGGTCTCGGGCCTTCTGAAGTCTCCAGTGTAACCCAGGGGAACAATCTCTACATATCTTCTCAGAGAGGTTGAGTAATTTGCCCAGGGTCACACAGCTAGAATGAAATAAATTCAGAATTAGAGCCCGGGCTTCCTGACTTCTACTCCTTTGTATTTTTTTTTTACTAGATTGTTCTTTTAAATTGCTGGGTTTGAAACCATGGAAATGTTTCTTAACAGACTCCCAAGTGCCTCGCCAGTGTCTGTGGCTGACCGGTCTGTGCAGTGAAAATGGGACCCCGAGTCGAGCTGGTTTATGCAACAGCCGTGTTGTCTTAGCTGCATCGCGGCAGGCTGTCGTCTTTCTCCTAAGGCCCTTTCATTAAGCTCTCACTCGTCAATTCTACGGCACACGGAAGCATTCGGAACAGCTTATCTATTTATGGTTATGAAATCAACAAATCTTGTGCAGGGAGGCACAGCTGGCACCCATGCACAGAGATGGTCGGGGACAGGTGGGTGAGCCGACGGGAGAGGCGAGGGACACGGGACCACGGAGGGTGCGAGGGGGAGAGCAGAGCGGGGGAAGGAGAAGGTGAGCTGTTCCCGGCCAGGGCCTGAAGGCAGGGCTGAGACACAAGGAATGCAACGACCCGACCAACCAACCGGAGTGTCAGACCTGCCACATTCCAAGGAGGGAAGAATCCACTAAAACCACTTTTCAAATGCAGAGTGGGGATCCCCCAGCTCCTCCAAGTGCCCTGGGCAGCCAGGAACGAAGGACCTAGGCCCTGCCCTCGAGGAGCAGGGGGCCAAGGAGGAGACAGACCCCTGCGCATTCACTCTTGGAGTCCTCCCGCTGGTGAATCCCTCCGAGCCCTCTGGCCCGACAGCTGGTCTGGCAAATCGCCCCACCCCACCCCAGTGTCCCCAGCCCCTGTGCTTCCTCAGCACTGCCCTTGTCACCCTGCACTGTCCCCACTTGCTTCCTGGGCCATCTCCCCTGCCAGCACCCACGTCCGGTCCCCGCTTTCCCAGCACCCAGCATGTAAGGCGTTTGCAGGACAGACACCGAGGGGACCATCCTCTGGGGGGGACATGGCAGTTGACAGACTCAGGCCAGGCTCGGCCCCATGGAGCCTCCAGGCTGGGGAGGAAGTGAGAACTGCATCCGCCCCCCGGGCTGGGATGCTGCCGCCAGGGCGGCGTGCAGGGTGTCCGGGAGCGAGAGGAGGCTGACCCAGCCTGGGGAGGTGCGTGTGAGTGGCGCTGCTGGCTCCAGGTCACAGCTGACCAGGCCGTGCTGGGGGAGTGGGGTGGACAGAGAACCCCATGGACAAGACCCCACATGGTGCCAGGTGGCCATGAGAGAAGCTGCTGTGGCCGAGGCCGTGGCAGCAGGTGCGGGGCAGGTGGGGCGAGGCAGCCACAGGACTTGGCTCCAGGGTGGCGCCGGGGCCAGCCCCAGCCTGCAGCAGCCAGGGCGGGGTGGGGGGCTGTGAGGAACGGCCCAGACTCCCCCAGCTCTGGCTCTGGTGATCCCTCCTGCCCGTCTGGCCCCCTGCGCACCCCCCTCCAGCTACATATCCTGCCTTCCAGTACCCGGCCCGCCACTCCCCTGCTTCCACAGTGCCCTTGCACGTGCTGTCCCCTCCCGGGGCGCCACGGCCTCTCCCCTTCGCCCACTTCATCCCACCTTCCCCCCCCCCCAAAGCTCAGCTCAAATCCCGCCTCCTCCAGAAAGCCTTCCCTGACTTTCCCAACTCGGTCAAATCCCCAGTTATAGGTTCCAGGCACCTGCGCCTCTGTTAGCCTTCGACGAGAGAGCAACTTTGTCCTTTATTTTAGTGATTAATTGGTGGTTATTGTCGCTCCCTTGCCAGACTGGGGACGCCACAGCAGGGACCCTGTCTGCTTTGCTCCCTGTCGACTGTTCAGCATGGTGTCGTAAGACCCTCCATACACATTTGTAAGACGTTTACATAAGACACAAGCAATGGAGGTGTCTACTCAGAGCAGAGAAGGCTCAAAGGGGGGTGTCGGCATCTTCAGTCACCCACAGGACGGCCACCGGGAGGCAGGGGCAGATACGGTCCGCGTGGAGAGGTGGCAGGGGCCTGAGGAAGGACAGGCAGGATAGAGTCCTGCCACCCTCACAGACTGACTTTGTGACGTTGGTCAGTTAAGTAGCTTAACCTTTTGTGCCTCAGTTTACTCATCTGTTAACTAAAGATGTGAGCAGAACAACTGCACCTCCTTCAAGGGGTCGATGTGAGAATTAAAGGAGTTAAATAGGTAAAGCCCTTAGAAATCACCCAACGCATGAAAGGAGCACGATAAATGTTCAATGGTGGATGTCATTCATTATCTTAACTTTATGAAAGACAGGATTGTGAGCAGGCGGTGCAGAGAAGGCAGGGCTGGCGCAGGGCCTGGCACACGCCCTGCCACTGCCAGTGCAGGAGCAGCTTGGGCCCCCTCTGGCTTCCGCAGCTTTGGGCCGGGCTGGGTCTGACAGTACCAGCCGCTGTAGGCCAGACTGGGGGCTGCGCGGCTCCGACAAAAAGGACAAAGGTGAGAGTGGGGTCTGGGAAGTCGAGGGGTGCTCACAAGTGGCCCTGAGGGCTCGGGCTCGGGGTGCCCCTTCCCAGGGCCTCTGCTGGCTCCCACGCTGCTCACCATGACTCGGGACAAGCGCCCTGGCTGTGCCTAACACACCCATCCAGTGTCCAGCAACCAAGCTCCCCTTGCATGTTTCTAGAAGCCACCCTGTCCGTGCTCTTCCCTCACTTAAAACCTTCATGGCTCCCTCACTTCCCATTACCCCAAACCCTTCCTGGCCGGCGCCTGCTGCCTTCCCTCCACCCTCAGGTGCCCAGGCCACCGCGGGCTCCAGCTTCAGGCCCGCCCGTGTTAGCATCTCAGCACGCCTTGTGACGGGACAGCAACAGATGTGACGGGTGCAAACTCGCCCGCACCTTGTGTACCCAACAGGTGCGTGAGCTCATGGAAACCCCCCAGCACCCTGACCCCAGGGAAGGCTGATGAGACTCAAGTGACCAGAGGCGAGCAGGAGGCCTGGGGCTGGGCCAGCGACAGACGGGAAGCCCTGGGTGCCGGGGAGAGGAGACCCCGAGAGCAGGGAGAACCACGCTCTCTGCCTGGGCCTGCTGGGACACAGGGAGCTGGTTGGGCTGTGGCAAGAAGGGGAGGGCGGCAGCTATGGCCCTGATGGAGCAGCTTCTGGAACCCGGAAGGGACAAGCACTTGGCGGGTGGGGGAAGGACACCAGGAAGCCTCAGTGCAAAGGACCGTCCGGTTGAAGGGAAAACTCCTGAATCACCCGGCCCAGACAGGGGTGGCTGAGGAGCCTTCCGCCTACCAGTCAGAGCGCGCTCAGTCTAGATGTCCGCATATCGTGTTTGATGCAGGGGAGAGTCTAGGACAGGAGGATGGGAAGACATGCATTCTGGTCCTGGCTCTGGCACCAGCCCACCAGGGGCTTGCTATGCAAGCCCCTTCCCCTCTGTGGGCCTCAGTTTCTCTACTTGCAAAATGGCAGTGGGTTGGGCCACTTGGCCTAAAAGGGCCTCCCTTCTCTGGTACTCTGAGCATCTCTGGCCCAGGTCTCACCTGGCCCTGTGCCTCTTGGGCCTTGGGAGTTGAACCCTCTGCAACCCTGAGACCCAGTTTCAGGTGGGCATGAGCCCATTTGCCCAGGGCTAGGGTCCAGGTGGGCCTGAAGTATCCCAGAGGACCAACTCCTTGGCCCTGGATGTGCAGGGCCACCCCGGAACCCTGAGGACCGGGCTGTGTGGACACGGGAGGCAAGAACTCGTGCTGACTCTGCACTTTCCTTCTTCACAGCCAACCCCTCGGGCCATTCTCACAGCTCAATGTGACTGCAACAAAGGACTCACCGTTGGGGGGCGCCGGTGGGTTCCAAGGTGCACACAACAGGTCATCTTCAGAGTGGTCCACGCAGCCTGTGGCTGAAGCAGCTACTGTCTCCAGCATTCCTTAGCTTCACGCTGGTGGGAGGAAGACGACCCTCTCAGGAGGTCCCACAGCTGGCCACACAGGGACGCCACAGCCTGGCCAAAACACTCAAGTTCAGAAAATCCCAGACTTACAGTCGGAACTGGGCCCCTTACAGACCATCTCCGCCGCACTGTCCTAGTGCCGAGAACGGAGTGACCCAAGTGACATGGCCAACGCGTGGTGGAAGCGGACCCCCAGCCAGGTCCTGGGCTCACAGAGCAGCGGCCTGGCATGCCTCCCGAGGGGGGCCCCGCGGGATCCAGCAGCACAGGAGGAGCCTGCGCCGGGAGGCAGGGGCTGGGTCCTAGGCTCAACAACACGCTGACTTGCTGTGTGGCCTTGGCAAATCGTATCTTGCCAAGGGATGCCTCAGTTTCCCCTTCTGTGCATTAAAGGCTTGGCCCTGGGAACGTATCCTTCTTGGAAATGTCATTCAAGGCTCCAGGGCTAACTGTTCCAGAGTGTGAGCGTCTCTCCTTTCCTAGACTCAGAGCCCGCAGGTGCTGGGCGGGATGGGATCCACCTCTGGGCCCCCATCCCAGGTGCCGAGTAGGGGCGCAGACATGTCTGGAATCCACAGAGCTCCTCAGGAACCGTCAGGTACTTCACAGCTGTCCTCAGGGGGGTCCTGGTCAAACACCTCTGGTGGGTGCTGTAGAGAGAGCACAGGTGTCAGCAGGACCAGGCAGGGGGCCAAAGGGCTGGTCCACATGGGTGGGAGAGCCCCGCTGGAGCCCAGCCGCCCACGCGTGCACCCAGACACGAGTGGCGCTCCCAGGCAGGCTGGCAAAGGTTTGGCTCCAGGAAGTCCCAGGGAGCTGGTGGGCTGCAGGAGCCCTGAATGGGAGCAGACATTTGCAAGCAGCAACCTGATTGGTTGGTCATGGAGACCATGGGATCCAGAAGCTTGTCCGGAAAGCCCACCTCGGCCCGGACGGTGCTGGGGACGAAGAGGCGGGCCGTGCCACTCAGAGTTGTCCAGCGCCTCCGCCGGGTGCAGGGCAGCGGCCAGACAACTGCACCCCGCGCCCGCTACACTCAACGTGCAGGAACGAGGACACACCTCCGGCCAGAGGTCAGCATCCTGGGCTCTGGCCCGTGCTTTCCAGGAACATGCCATGTGACTCTGGTCAATCACTACTCTTCTCTGGGCCTCAGTTTCCCTTTTAGTTTAAGGAGAGGGTTGGAGCAACTGGTAAGGGGCTTTCCTGGGATCTTAACTTGGCTCCAGGCTGAGCCCGAGGGGAAGAGTAAGGCAGAGGGCGGAGGGGAGGTGTGAGCCCCAGCGTGCCCGAGGGCAGCGAGTCCTCACCTGGTGTTCCACTCCGTGGCCTTGTCCAGAGGGGGTCCCAGCTGCGCTGGGCCTGCATCCTGTGTCCTTGCAAGGTTTGAACAGGAGCGTCTCTGCGCTGGCAGGGGAGAGGGGCGGGGCGAGGGCCAAGGGCAGGACCTCTTTCTCCACGGCTGAAGGGTCCCCACGGTGGGCGGTGGGCGCTAGGGGGGCGGAGGATGGGGCTGCGGCGCCGGGGCTTCCTGGGCCCAGGCCCGGCGCGGGCAGGCGGCCGGGGGCGGGGGCAGCTCCCGGGCTCTGGCGGAGCCGCCACTCCGCCGGTTGCCTTAAAAAGGCGCCAGCGCGCGCGCATCAGCAGAAGGGACGCGGCTCTCTTCCAAAATAGGCAAGAACTGGGAGGCCGCGGGAGACCGGCAGCGACGAGCGCGGACGTCACGCGGGGCCTCCCCCCGCCCCCGCCCGCATCACGTCTCCATGGCAACGGCGTGCCGCGCCGCGGATGAATGAGCCGCCGCGGAGGACGGGGGCGCGCGAGGAGGAGCGCGGGGACGCGGCCGCCCCGGGGCGCCCTGGCGATCGTGAAGACGCGGACCTCCGTTGCCAGCGCGTCCTGTTGCGCCCCGGGACGCGGGGGCTGCTCGGTCCAGGGAACCCCTGTCCTCTCGCTCAGGGTTCCTCCGCCCCGGGGCCCCCCTGCACCCCACCGCCCCTCTCGGCGGCCGGCTCTGCTCCCCGAAGTCCGCGTGTGGACGTGGCGCCACCTGGCGGCCGACGCCGGCGCTGCGCCGGGCGGGCCTGCCGCCGAGTCCCGCCGTCTGTGTCGCCCTCTGGCGTCCGCGGGGGGAGGCGCATGAAGGAGCCCGCGGCTCCACCCGGGACCCCAATCAGCAAAGTGCTCATGTCGTATGGTCGCGCTACGCCCCGGCGGACAGCCCTGCAGAAACTGCCGTGCGGGACGCTGCCGGGGTACGATTTCACGGGGGGACAGCCGGAAACCATTTCTCAACGGAACACGGATTGTTTTCTGAAGAGGCCGCGGTGCCACCAAGTGCCACAGGCTGCATGGCTCAAACGACAGGCATTTATTTCTCACGGTTCTGGAGGCTGGAAGTCCAAGACCAAGGTGCTGGCAGGGCTGCGTCCTTCTGGGGGCCTTCTCCTCCCTGTGTCTTCAGTCATCGTCCCTCCGTCTGCGCCCAAATTTCTTCTTACAAGGATATTGGTCAGATTAGATTAGGGACCACACTAAAAAACTCATTTTAAGTTAATTACCTCTTTGAAGACCCTATCTCCAAAGAAGGTTACATTCCGAGGTCCTGGGGTTAGGACTTGCACATAGGAATGTGGGGGAGGGGGGGGACACAATTCAGCCCATCATACAAGCTAAAGAAAAAAAAAATCACACGATCACATCAACTAATGTAGAAAAAGTATTTGACAAAATGCAACACCCATTCATGATAAAGACTCAGAAAAATAGGAATAGAGAGAAATTCCCGCAACTTGATAAAGAACATCTACAAAAACCCCACAGCTGACATTATACTTAATGGCAAAAAAAAAAAAAAAAACTGAATGGCTTCTAAGATTGGGGACAGGGCAAAGATGTCAGTTCTTACCAATCTAATTCAACTTGGCAATGGAAGTTCCAGCCACTGCAATAAGTCCAGAAAAAGAGACAAAAGGCATATAGATTGGAAAGAAGAAATGAAACTGTTTCTATTTGCAGATGACATGATTATTTACATAGAAAATCCCAAGGAATCTACCAAATAAATAAATTTAAGAAACCCTAGAAGTAATGAGTAACAAGATGGTAGGATATAAGCTCAATATACAAAAATCGATTGTATTTCTATATACTAGCAATGAACACATGGACACATTTTAAAAATATAATGCCAAGGCCGGGCGCGGTGGCTCACGCCTGTAATCCTAGCTCTTGGGAGGCCGCGGGCGGATTGCTCAAGGTCAGGAGTTCAAAACCAGCCTGAGCAAAAGCGAGACCCCGTCTCTACTATAAATAGAAAGAAATTAATTGGCCAACTGATATATATAGAAAAAATTAGCCGGGCATGGTGGCGCATGCCTGTAGTCCCAGCTACTCGGGAGGCTGAGGCAGCAGGATTGCTTGAGCTCAGGAGTGTGAGGTTGCTGTGAGCTAGGCTGACACCATGGCACTCACTCTAGCCTGGGCAACAAAGCGAGACTCTGTCTCAAAAAAAAAAAAAAAAAAAAAAACCCTGCGAGATTTTTTATACCTATAAACAAGAGTATTCTAAAATTTATATGGAAATACAAAAGAACTAAAATAGTTAAAATAATTTTGAAATAAAGAAATAAAGTGAGGGGAATCACTCTAAGAATTCAAGACATTATATAGCTACAGTGTCAAGACTGTATAATATCAGCAGAAGGATAAACACATAGATCAAATGAATGGAATAGAAAACCCAGAAATAGACCTACACTAATGTGCCCCACGATTTTTGGACAAAGGTTCCTCAATTGAAAGAAAGATAGCCTTTTCAGCAAGTGGTGTCGGAGCAATTGGACATACATAGGTAAAAAAAAATTGAACCACAATCTGTTTCATACCTTACACACAAATTAACAAAGTTCTCTGAAAAGCAGTTTCGAGGAAAGAGACTTTATTCCAGTGAACAGTTTGCAAACCAGGAGACACAACTTGCAGTCCAGAGGACAGAGAGAAGGTTCAATTTTATAGCCAAAGTCCCTGCCCCGGTTCCAATCAAGGTCTGTTTATGCAAATGAAGGAGCCAAAGTTGCTTGGTTCAGATTGGTCGATACAGCTGAGCCCTGATTGGTTGGTTCAGGTAAACTCTGAAAGTTCCAAAATTAAACAGACGTGTGGGTTTGCAGGGAACGCAGGGTATGTGTGTGACCTCTGGTCAGCCGCTGGCCACTTGACGCTACTTTCTATTTAGGCCCACTTAGGCAGCGGGGGTCAATCTGGAAGGGTTGACTCTTTCCTGTTCCCATTTGTTCTCATCTGGTTCTTAAAAAACTAAGCATATGGCCGGGAGCAGTGGCTCACGCCTGTAATCCCAGCACTCTGGGAGGCCGAGGCGGGCGGATTGCTCAAGGTCAGGAGTTCAAAACCAGCCTGAGCAAGAGCGAGACCCCGTCTCTACTATAAACAGAAAGAAATTAATTGGCCAACTGATATATATATAAAAAAAAATTAGCCGGGCATAGTGGCGCATGCCTGTAGTCCCAGCTACCTCGGGAGGCTGAGGCAGAAGGATCACTCAAGCCCAGGATTTGAGGTTGCTGTGAGTAGGCTGACGCCACAGGCACTCACTCTAGCCTGGACAACAAAGTGAGACTCTGTCTCAAAAAAATAAATAAATAAAAAATAATTAAATAAAAATAATAAGCATAATAATACCCCATGTATATTTAAAAAAAAAAAAACAAAAAACTAAGCATGAGGGTCGCCGGGCCTGGTGACTCACGCCTGTAATCCCAGCACTCTGGGAGGCTGAGGCTGGCGGATTACTCAAGGTCAGGAGTTCGAAACCAGCCTGAGCAAGAGCGAGACCCCCGTCTCTACTATAAATAGAAAGAAATTAATTGGCCAACTAACATATATATAGAAAAAATTAGCCGGGCATAGTGGCGCATGCCTGTAGTCCCAGCTACTCGGGAGGCTGAGGCAGGAGGACTGCTTGTGCACAGGAGTTTGAGGTTGCTGTGAGCTAGGCTGACGCCACGGCACTCACTCTAGCCTGGGGAACAAAGTGAGACTCTGTCTCAAAAAAAAAAAAAAAAAAACTAAGCATGAGACTACCACATGGCCCATTTGCACTCCTGGCGTTTATGAAAACTTACGTTCACACAAAAACCTGTATGTGAATGTTCAGAGCAGATTTATTTGGGATAGCTCAAAACTGGAAACAACCCAGATGTCATTCAGTGGGTGAGTGATCATACAGTCTGTCAGACAGTGAATGCGGTGGAAGAGTGCTCAGCAGAAACAGTGAATGAACCTTGATCCATACAGCAGCCTGCGCGAACCTCCCGAGAATTACGCCGAGTGGAAAAGGCCAGTCCCCAAAAGTGACATACCGTGTGGTTCCATTTACGTAACACTCTTGAA